GTGTAAATCTTGAGGAGCGATGAGAAGCTGTTTCAGGGGTATCGACTATATCCTAGAAAAGAGGCCCACATAGACAATTTTCACCCAGCAACAAGAAACTTTTAACATGATGACGCATAATACAGAGTGTCTAGGTTCAGTCTGGGCATTTCATGCTTCAAACAGTATTTCTTTATTGTCTCCATTTTTCTTTCCGTGATTTGAGAATCCTTCTCTGTCTCTGTGTTTTAAGGCCATGCTCTTATTGTCTGGACATGATCAAATTTTTAACTTAGAGCAAGATTTAAAATACCATTTTGCCCTCAACACAGTTTAGGTGGAGGTTGTTGGAGAGGGAGAGGACTCATTCTGCTCGCCCTTCATCACAGGAATAGAAAGGAGATGAGAGTCACTAAGAAAAGTGGTCTGCTGAAGTGGAAGATTTGGTCATGATTACTTAGAGGCAAACTTTCCAAAGATCACATTAGGATGGCGCAGAGTGCCCCAGGCTGCGTGGGTAAATGTGATCCTTGGTGCTCTTGGGCCTGCCCACCTGGGGCTCTTGTCTGGAGCTGCCTCGGTGGCCCACCTCCAGGCACTGATTGCTTTCTGATTGTCATGAACTTCATCCTGCTCCCCTGAGAGGAACAAGCCTCTCTCTACCATTCTTCCTAGTCATGTTTTTTTCCTAAATAGGTTTTATAAAAAAATTATAACAGGATTGCAGAAACCCAAGAGCTTACTGCCAACTGTATGATAACACCAGGTATACAGAGGGCAGTAAAATGGGTAGAATAATCTCATGAACACATGATTCCGGCTCAGGATGATTGATGGCGGTGTGGCCAGTGTGGTTTCCCTCCTTCCCGATGGTATAGGTTGGGTCGGGACCCTCTGGTTTTCCCTTCATAGTGTTCACTATATTTGTTTGGTAGATTTTCTGTGCAATTCTTTGCTTCCTGAATCTCTTCTCCATTTGAGAGTCATCTCTGTGAGGGGGATCTGAGCCTCCTCCACTGTTGAGCTAGCCCCCTGTGTGTGGCTTGTTTCTCTCGGGGCACCCCATCAACATTCCATCAAGGCTTAGGCTCAATAATCAGGGTCAAAAGGGGGCTTCAAAAGTATGGGCTTAACAAACGAGCTCCATAAATATTTGAACAAATAAGCAAAGTACTGTCGACAAGGTGATTGCTTTTAAAGACCTCCCGGCTCTCTAAGTAATCGCACTTTTTAATCGCCAGCGAGTTGTCATCCTTTAATGACAGGAATCCTTCTAAACAGGTTCATCTCCAGTTGACTGACAGCCGAGGAGATGGTGCCCGCTTTTGTGACCATGCTGGCAGCTTTCTTAGAAGGCCGATGCCGGGCACCCACTTTTAGCCCCTGCCAACTCCATCTGTAGACTCCATGGTAATGGAGTTGGGGTGTATGGGAACAAACCCAAAGAAATGTTTCAAATGACTTACATTTTCAGATAATGATACTTGAGTAGTACATGGACTAGCATTTTAGCAAGGCCTAGAATTCTGGCAGCTGTAAGCAGGTTTGAGCCGGAGTGGGCAGCGACGTCCCAAGCTCTCATCCTTTCTTTGCCACATTTTCTTTTTAATTATCTTACATTTCCTATGGCCCTTTCAAGAGGGCTAAATTTACAATTGCTGTAATGGCTGAAGCCGTTGCTTCCTCCTGACGTGGCGTGGCAATTATTTCTGAGAGACATTATTAAAAACGCAGCCTTTAATCAGGGGAAGAACAGAACAGCAGCGAGCGGCAGTGAGAGATGGCTCCTCTAATGAGATCCACGTAATGGCGTAAGAGCAGCCGGTGCTCCTGAGATGGCAGGGCGACGCGGCATCTGTAATTTCTGAAGACGCAGGAAGTGATTCATGCAGTGTGATTCTGAAGCTGGCACAGGAGCACATTCTGTGCCTTCGGATGTGACCAGGGCATGACTGACTTTTTGGAAAGGCCATTCGTTTAAAAGCAAGTTAGTGTCCTGCTTCAATAATCCAAATTAGTTTAACACACTTCGGTGACATTATTTCAGCATTTTTCACAATTATTAGAGATAACTCACTTTTCTCTGTAGACTGTAGGGTCAAAAGCAAATTAAATCAATGGATTTTCTTCCTCCATGCTCTCAGATGAGCCAGAAGTTTTCTGTCTGACTTGCTCTGCCCTTTCTGTTTGAGCTTAAAAACCCAAACAACCTGTTGGGGAGACATTGCCAATTTGATTACTTTCTCTTTGCTAATTAGTTTTGCCTTCCTGTTGGATGGAATGAATGGCCTGGCCATTTTGTCACCGTGGGGACAGAGCTTAAGTGGAGCAGTTGTCCTGGGAAACTGTGGCCACAGGAATGTCCCCATCATTATTAATGTCTGGAGATTCGTCCCCTTAATTACTTCTGTCTGGAGATGTGTCGCAGAGTGAAAATCTGTCTTGACACCATCACTTTCTCCACTCTTACTTCCTTGCTATGATCAAGTCACCCCATGTGGCCCCAGACCCCGGCAACCCTCAGGGATGCCAGGCACAGCCAGTCTAGCAGGGGATGAGGGACCTGCTGAATGGTAGTCTGCCATGGAGCCCCATACCTCCTCCCCAGCCCTGACTCAGGGACCAGCAGCCTGCCTTGCACTTCCTAGGCAGCAGGTAGGAGGACCCTTCGATAAAGATCCAGAGAAGCCTCAGGGCTTCCTACTTCCCCTCGGGGCTGGGGGATTGCCAGACGCTGGGGCCCCTGGTTGAGAAACTGCACCCATGAAGTGCTAGCACCAAATAGATTTTTACAGCCACTTCTTAAATATGGGCCAATATTGAAGATGGCTCCTTCCCTCAAGAGAGCCTGTGACAGGAAGAGAAAGACAAAAACACACTGAAACAAAAGAACACGGGAGAGAGACCCCTGCAAGGAGCAGCAAGACCCAGCAGCCACAGCAATAAGCTGTCATCTGAGTTGCCAGAGAAAAAAGGGAAGGTGACAAAGAACAGGATGCAATTTTAGAAAATGGAAAAGGACCTTAGAAATTTAAAGAATGACAGCAGAAATAGCAACTTATGAGCTGGAATGTAAAAATGGGCACCCTATGGAACCAGTTAGGTGTCCATCAGTGGATGCATGGATAAGGAAAATGTGGTCTATGTACACAATGAAGTTTTATTCATCCACAAAGATGAACGAAATTATCTCATTTGCAGGAAAATGGATGAAACTAGAGACCATCATGTTAAGTGAAATAAGCCAAACTCAGAAGGTCATGTTTTCCCATATGTGGAGACTAGAGAGGAAAGGGGAAAAAAGGTGGGGGCAGATCTCATGAAAATCAAAGAGAGATGAGTAGAGTAGAGGAAAGAGACCAGGGGAAAGAGGAGAGGGAAGGGGAAATGCAGGGAAACAGTATTGGCCAAATTATATTGTTCTATGTGTGCATGCGTGAACAGGTAACAACAAACCCCACCACCATGTATGGTTAGAATGCACCAATGGAAAAAAATGTGGAAAAAAGATGATGGAATTCTCCCAAAAGAAAACAAGAAGACAAAGATATAGAAAATATGGGGGAAAAAAAGAAAAAGAAAAGATTATAGCAGGAGGTACAATAACCTAACAAGAGAAGTTCTATAAAGAGAGAAAATACAAAATAGAAGGAAATCAAAGCAATGGCACATAAGTCCAAGAGATCTTTCAAACAACACAGGGCCATCGTTAATAGCAATGCATTATATTCTTGAAAATTCCTGAGAGTAGATTTTAGGTGTCCTCACTCCACACCCACAGAAAGATAAGTATTTGAAGCAATGCATATGTTAATTTGTTTCATTTAGCTTTTCCATAAAGCATAGATAGTTAAAACAATACAATTTTTAAAAAAAGAAAGAATGAACCATATTTTTCTAAAATCAAAGGACAAGGTTTAGATGGAAAGGACCCACGGCACGCCAGCAGGTGCCTGAAGACACCAGGATCTGCCCCCACCTTTCTCTTTCCCTTTGCTCTGTAGTCTCCACATATGAGAAAACATGACCCTTGACCTTCTGACGTTTGGCTTATTTTGCTTAACATGATGGTCTCTTGTTCCATCCATTTTTCCGCAAGTGACACTGGGCGTGAGGGGAGCCACAGAGCTTCCAGAAGAGGAAGCACACACCATTGCACCAGAGGATGGTGAACCATGAATCATATTCACACAGAACCTGACAGTGCCGCACCATGGGTTCTGGTTCTCTTTCCTTCTTTCCCCCTAACAAGATTTATTATTGGCCCAGAACATGGGAGTGTTAGACTCTCAATAGAGATATTTCTAAAGAAATGAAATGAAATCTTAGGCACTTGATTTTCTTAGGGGAATGATTTTAGTAATATGTCCATCGAAAGCTAAGCAAAAGAGAAAAAAAAAATTATTATTTACTCCCAGGGAAGCAGCTTGGGCAGGAGGTGCCCAGCCGTGAGGGTCAAGGGTGCGCCCCTAGACACTGTTTATATGCCCAAACGAAGCCTGGCTCAGATTGCAGAATGGTGGGCAGAGGATGAGAAGTGTGGTGTTGGTGTTGGTGGTGGGAAGAGTGATGTGGTGGACAAGGGTGTGGGAAGGGCTGACCTCTGCCCTGATGGGAAGTCATCAAGTACACAGGGTGCTGTCATCCATAGTCTAGCCTGAAGCTTCTACTGGGGCCACCTGTTGTATGGTAGATAAATCAAGCTGATCTGAAATGAATCTGAGTAAATATGGCCAGGAAGATGATTGGTGGTGGTGGGGAAGGGAGTGGAACACCACATGAAGTAGCCTTTACAATGAATGGGGAACTGTTTGGGGAACTGATGCTGCTACTTCTGTCCTCCACAAAAGTGAAGACGACTTATCTGACCAAGTGTGGACTGGTCAGAGGTAAAGGGAGCTAAGTGACGTGATGGGAGGTGAACCTGGAAGTGACAGGAAGACAAGGACCAGCTCTTGGGAAGTTGTTTCTTGTGCCTTTTATAATTCCAGATGTCTATACTCATGTCTCCCCGTCTTCAGGTCTAAACCTGCAAGGAGACCTTGCCACTTCAGAATTTTCTCTTGGTTATGGGAATGAAGAAGAGAAGGAAGATGACTGTGGCCGCATCTCAGAAAACGCCTCTCCTAGTTCAAGTTCAAGGACCGTCAGGGAAAGAGACAAATTAACTGCGAAGGTGGGGATCATGACTTCGAGCTATCTCTGCCTGCCTGTGGTCTAGAATTAGGGCTCCCCTTTTCCTGTTGTCATTGTTGGCTGTTGCAAAATGAGCTGGGCCCCTCATTAGAGCTTCCTGGCCCTGAAACACAGGGTGACTCTGCTTGTGAAGCAGTTGGGATTATTTCTGATGGTTTATTGCAAATCCTCAGGACATTAGTAATTCATACCTGAAGGAAGATGTTGCCATACATCAGACAGTACTGGGACAGGAGGTCACCCCTGGCAGATCGTGGGGCCGCATGTTGAAGACCACTAGCATACAGACCCAGACCACAGGTTGAGCAGTGCTGATGTGGATCCACTGAACACATTGTGCCATAAAATCACACGGCCTTGTGTGAGCTGTGGGGACGGCCAGCAGGAAGCTTAGGCCTGGGTGGATAATTGAGTGGTTTTGTTTTTAACACAGCTAGATAAAAACACATAGCAATCTCAGCAGCCTATTTTGTATCAATAAGGAGCCTGACTTGAGTTAATGCTCCAATTAGTTATTAATGGAAACTTATTGAGGGCATCACATTGAAGTTCACGCTCAGTAAAGAATCATTAAAACCTTGAGACCTTGTTTTCATTGAGGACCACGTTTCTGACTAGTTTTTTTCTTGTACCAATTAACCTTTTCTCCCTCTTTTTTTTTTTTTTTCCTTTGCACTCTGTTGCAGGATATTTCTCCATCTGCTGGCAAGCATGATGGCTGTTCTCAGCAGCATGACACTGCTGCCCTGTCAGGGTTATCCCTGCAAGTTGACACCTGTGTGGCAGTGGCAAAGGATGACCCTATGTCTCGTGGCAAAGGTCTTGAGGCTGGATATCTGGAAGCTCAGCTGCCACCATCCCAGGGTTCAGTCTCGGGAGATCTCAAGCCATGTGTTTCCTCTGATGCTCAAGAGCCTCCTTCTTATGAGTCCAAAGGAACCTTTCCCCACCATGACATTGCTACCTCTGTTGCTGCCATCTGTATTTCTGTGGGGGCGGCAGCAGGTCACACAGTGCTGGGCATTCACAGTGCAGAGCCTCAGGAGCACAGCTGTGCTGCAGGGGAAACTCTGGCCCAAAGCTCCCCAGACAGAAGAGCCATCACCGAGGGCGTATCACAGACACCCCTGCCAGCAAAACTTGCATCTGGACACAAGACTGTAGGCTCAGTTCCCCTGGACTCAACCGGAAAGGTTCATCTTGAAATACCAGCTTTAGGACTAAGTTCAACTTGTTCACACCAAGAGGAAGGGAGACACCAGGTGGCCTTTCCTTCCAGGGGTCAATATGGGTGTGGGGAAAAGGCCTTCCCCTGTCCCACTATAGGAACTGACAGTGGGAAATGCCAAGTATCTGGATTGATCACTCGGAAGGGCTGTGGGGTTTCTGCTAACCCAGGGCAGCCCTCAGAAGTCCCTGAGGCCCCTTCTAGATCCGTGAGGAAGAGGAGTTTGGAAGGAATGAGAAAGCAAACTCGGGTGGAGCTCAGCGACTCCAGCAGTGATGATGAAGACCGCCTGGTCATAGAGATATGACATCTCCGTGACAAGACGAAGTCCCTGGCTGAAGACTGTTGATGCTTCACAAGAAAATGTCCTTAAGCTGCAGAAGCACTGATGGTACTTACAAAACACCTGCAGACCAGAAAGCCATCTGGGCTCCTTCCAAGCCAGCTCCAATCAGCTCCAAACCCCAGTTGGCTGCACCCTTTCCCAGTTCCTATTGGGCAGGCCTAACAGGCTCCTCCAGTGCCACGAAGCTCCGTCTGAGAAGGCTCCACGTACACAGAGACGGGCCTTGACTGCAGCCTAAGCCCAGAGTGGGTCCCACTGCCTCACTCTGAGAGGAGCACATTCACCCAGGGAGCCACAGTTGGCCCACTGACCAACTGGTGGACCTGGGGTCAGGCCACTGACTTCTCCACTAGTAAGCGGAGGGTTTGCTTCAGGTAGTGAGCACACATGGGATGATGGGGGGGGGGGGCTTCAAAAAAGGGAGTGTGACTTGGGCAACATTCCGAGACAAAATTCAGATGTACTGAAAAACTGATTTGGTCGAGGTAATTTGCCTCCTTGGTGGAAGCTGTAAATATACTTCAAAATGCCCATGGTCTGGTGAAGTGCTGATATCCTTCAATGTTGCACAAATGGTCAATGCTCATTTATGGTCAAATGACGCACGCACTTGCTGCTCTTGTACCTGGTGCCTTTTCTGTGAGACCCCTGAGACCATTAGTTTTTCCAGCTCTTTGCAAAGGAACGCTGTGTTAAAAGTCAATAGAACAGTCTTTCTGTAATGAGTCATTTTTTGAGGGGGAAAAATTCACTTATTTTCCTCTGATTCTTTTTGTCATATTGTGCTCTGAGCAATTTCAATTAGAGGGTTCCATTTTAGTAATCTGTGCAGCTTGAATTGATGCCTGCTCCTCGTGACGGGAACCTTTCAGACTTCCTCCAGAAGCTTCAAGGATACAAAACTAATTGGAGTTTTGACGCTGTTTTACATCTCAGTAATTTTATTTTGGGGGCTTGGTGTTACTTTGCTGTCAAATTAAATCAGCCTCTGTATTGTGCAAGTCAGAACAGCACAGATAAAATTCCCCAGTATTCCAAGCCAGCGCACCCCTATGCAGAGGAAAATAGCAGGTCTACGTCAGCCAGCCCACTGAGCAGAGCCTCAGATTTCCTGCTTCCTCTCCCTCTCCTTAAATGGGAGAGGAAAAACTTAAAGAGGTTTATACTGCTGCATTTCAATAAAATTTTTATACTTGCTTTTGGTATGATTTTGTACAATTTGAAATTTATAGCCGAGCTCTTTTGGCTTAACTTTGATGTAATGATGTTCATATGACATCTTGTACTTCAAAGGCAAAGCAACAATGCAAACCATCTCACACATGTGAACACACTTTGCCAAGCCCTCGCCTGTGACCATGTGTGCTCCCATCTCAAGTCTCTTCATGTGAATTTTCCAATTCTGATGTTATTCATAGAAAACTTCAATGAAGGACCAGCTTCCCCTGGTTACTTAAAATATGTCAGTGGTCATTTCATATGCATTCACAAATAGCTCAGTGATCACAACCTCAGAAGAAGGCATCAGAAGGGAGGTGGATAGGTGCTAGACGTCAATGGAGGGTAATTTTTAAGCCAAGCAAAAGTGCTGCAATGGTCATCAACTCCTGGGAATGGCCTATGCTACTTCCTGGGAGAGGTAGTATAGGGAAGCAGTTGTAGCTCTGGACAGAGAGAGGTGAATTCCCAGCTTGGTCTTTAGCTAGGAAACATTGGTGAAGACCCTCTCTGCACCTCCATTTCCCTAAATGAAATTAAGAGAATTGGACAAGATGAGCTGAGTGTGTTTCCAGATTACAAACCTGGGGAAAGTGGATGACAGAGAAGCTGTCCTCTCCTTAACATGCCTGGGCTCCATGGTTTGGAGATGTTCTTCATGGAAGCCTTGCCCTAGGGGTTCTGCATGTGAGAATTTGGGTGACAATCACGAGGAACAGAAGCAAAAACCTCTGGTGCGGTAGTGCTGCAAAGCTTCATTTAATTCTTTCCCAGAGTTCCGGATTTTGGTGTGATGTCACCAATCTTATAAATGTTGGTTTATAATCCAAATACTAAAAAGCAAAAGCAGAACACTACTGTGTGAGTGGAAGAAAACCTATTTGTTGTCCAAATTGTCTGCTTTGTCTTGGAGGCACTTAATAGGGGAAGGGAATGATTTTCCAGATCCTTCCTTCCTGGATGGCTGCTGAGGTGTCAGCTAGATCTCAGGACCTAGTAAGCTAAAAGTCCAAATAGTACTGGCCACAGGATCGCAGTGGAAGCTCTGTCATTCTGTGAGCCACTGTGAATGGCTGTCATATCACAACCTAGATCCAATATGGCGGAATGCTGATTTCATCTTTTTAACTCCCTCTATGTCCCTCAGAGGTAGGCAGTTGACCAAGTAGTTCTGTTTCACAGGGTTATTTAGCTAGTTGGTGGCAGTGTTCCCAAATATACCTTACTTTGTATTAACATGAATTTGTAAAAAGTTCAATGGATTTTTTAAAAAATCAGAAATGTTTTTTTGAATGATACTAGGAGAGCTGGCTATTGAAGACATTGTAAGCTGAGTTTTGATTCTTTTGTTTTTAATGAAGAATTCTTTCAGAAAGCAACAAACCGATCTCTGATTTTAGAAACCCAATTTTCCTATGGGTTTTCTTAAAATGAAATGCAACCATGGGAATACATTTTAAGGGTAACATCAACAACCTGTATTCCAGTTTGGACAATTGAAAATAAAATTTAAATATTGTCAGCTGATAATTATTTTCATACTGAATGGGTACATACTGCATGATGTTCAGAAAAGATGTTTATTTTACCACAATGCAAACTCAAGTATAAAGATCAGACGTTTCTTTTTCCCCCTAGTGCTGTGCATTTATTTTCAAGTAAGGGTCTTAATCAATTGGTGCCTCAGCTTCCTCAATGGAGAATAGCTCTGGGGCTGCTGGCATGGGCTGAGGTGAAGGACACTTCAGATTCTTTGCCTCGCTCTCAGGCAAGGTAAGCCAGGGCTACAGCTCCTGATGCTTGAAGTGTTTACCAGTTCATTTCTTTAACTCTATTCCCACCCAGCCACGTCTCACTTCTTCAGATGTTTAAAGGAAAGGGGCCTCACCTCCTTCCTTGGCAATATAAATTTTTACCTGACTTTTAAATTCACATGTTTTTTGGTGGGCAAACTGGATCCTCCTTGTTATAAGCTGTGATGAATAGCTCATCCCTCCTGGTAAGGCCAACCTTCGGAATTCTAGATGAAGTGAATCCTCTTTGGTTCACACTTCACAGTAACCAGGAGGACATGTGATTCCTTTGCCAAGAAATCAAAATAGAAGGGGGGAGGGTGGTATCTCTGAAATCTAGCCAAAATGTGGCTAATACCTTTGTGGGTGACCTAGAGCAAGTTACAATTTCCCTTCCTAAAATCCCACTTCTGAAGCTGAGATCAGAAGAGTAATCTTGAAAATGCATTTTGACCACAGTCCTTGGCATGAAAGAAACGATTTGCAGTCTTATGCCAAAAAGTATTTCCTTGCATTTACATTCATTACTTAGAATGATCACATTATTCATTTTTTCCCCAGCATAGAAATTTGCATTTTGCACAAAATTTGCCTGGTGCAGCAGATTTTTATAGTTATGGAAACTGTCATCATGATGGGAATATGCTGCTGCTCAACTCCCTAGACATAATTTAATATGGGGAGGAGAAAATGGCCTGCCTGGCCTATGGGTGATCATATTTCTACTACTGCAGCAAGAAAAACTTGTGTATCTTTCCTCACTGCAGTGGTTATTCCCATAGTTCGTGCGTGGGAGAAACTCTGGATTTTGAAACACTACATTTCTTGTCCTTATCTTTCAGAATTCATTAACTACCAATGTCAGGATCTAGAAAACCTTGTATGGTTCTTTGCACCCATGCTTTGTACTTACGTGGGAATCTGCATAATTTGGTCTAAAGAAGTATAGGAATATTTGAGCACATTATTTCACCACTGGAAGAAAAGGAGTCAGGGAAAACCATCAGCCCTTGCTGTATGGAGTCCTGGAGGATGACTCACTATCTTACATGCATAGTAAATTGTCAGGACTTAATACTCTATTGACTGTCCATAATCAGGGAAGCAATTGGCTTCTTGGTTGTTTGTTGACATTTATTTCCATCTTTATATAGTTAAATTATTTTGTTTTGATAAAAATAAAACTTATAATGAAAATGTCTTATCTGTTTTGTTAATATTTTAACTGAAACCACCACAAGCAGTATCCTGTATGACTTGGACATCTGATTATTTCCAACAAGTTGGCCAGATACCCTGTCCGCCATATTGGTATTCCATTCCACTCAACAAAAGGATTAGATAATGGTGAATTATTACATTTTCTTGTGCCGTTTCTTTCTCCCGTGTGTCTCATTTGTCATTATCTGCCATATTTTATAGTTTGTAACTTAGAAATGTGTTTTTAAACTCTTAAATGTAGCTAAACTTTGAAGCCACATGAGGGCACTATCCACAGTGCAATAATCCAAAACTTTCCCCCTCGGAATTGGTGTTTTTTTGATATTTAATTTTATTCATCAACAGAGAAAACATACTTACATCAAAATTGTGCCTCCTTGCAAATGTAATTCATGTACTTCTTGCAAGAATAAGTAGGCTTATTTTATATCCCAACACAATATTCTTCTTCTGGGTATATATTGGTTGAAACCACTTGAACCCAACAGGGATACGATGCATTGGGAATAAAAGTGGAAACTTGGAAGAAACAGATACACTAATTGAGGACTCTTAATTTTTTTTCCTAATCTATCAAATTATAATAGTAATAAATTAATCCATTATTTCCAAATTTCAGTCATTTGAGAACCATCTTTTTGCCATATATATCAACAGACTATATGTAGTCATATTATTTACTTAATACTATTATTCAAATAATCTCTGTTAATGAAGAGATTATTGCTGTCATCAAGAATATCTGTGAAATCTCAATTTAATTTGCTAGTTAGGTATATTTTCTAGTTTGTGTTATGATCCATTAAAACTATTAGAAATTGTTTCTCCATGCACCACTTCAGTATCATCTTCAGACCACCATGGTATACTCACTACATTTTGGGAAACACTGAATTCATCTAGAAGGTACACGTATTATTAAATTCTCTACAATGTTCTATTTCCTAGTAAGCATAGCTCTGTCTCACTTTTTCTCCAAGTCAACAGAGTTGGTGACAACAAGTAAAATGGTAGATATACAGATAGCTTTCTTGAGTCAAAATTTACAGTTGAATAACTAACATTTCAAATCAAAGGATTATCTCATTATTTAGTCTTGAAGTAATACTATAAGGTCTCATCGTGTGATTTTTTTTTCTTTGTTTTTGTTTTGACTTTTTGTTGGTTGGCCTTTGGTGAACACAGAACAACACACAGGGATAGCAGATTCACACACACACACACACAGCTATCAATTCTGTTGAAAGACCCACTTCCATATTTTAAAATGTGAAGCAAATGGATTTGGCTGCACTAACAGCCACAGAGAGCAAGTTTCAAGTCTCCTCCTTGGTGACAGCTTGTTGATCTTCAGGCTGTGAAGGCAGAAAAACTTGCTCTGTGGCATCTGGGGCCTTTGTCTCCAGCTGTGACAGACATCTTTTCAGTTTCCCTCAGTTTCTGCCAGAGATACACTCAATGCCCTTCACCAATGAGCAACCTGGGATTAGTTCATGGCCATTTCAGCCCAGAAGTAGGTAAATTATCTTTCTGTGTAAGTGCACAGAGGATGGATTTCTATAGGGAAATGAAGATTTTATTTGTGCAGCTTCTGGTACAGAGAGACTAAGCCCTGTCCTTGACCACAGAGATCTGGCTGCCTCCAGTGTGTGTTCCATATGCAATGGGATGTTACTCAGCAGGACTGAGGCCTTGCAACTCCCTTGTAAATTAAAGGCCAAATACCCAGTCTTGTTTGTCTATATGATATGTGAACCACAAATGCTAGTGCTCTAGTCAGACATATTTGCTTGAAAGTAGCCCCTTAAACTCACACACACACACACACACACACACACACACACACACACATAAAGATACATGGAAAAAACGTACTCAAAAAGTTTTTTCTCTTATTGAAATAAAAAACTGGGTGGGCTGGGGCTGAGGAGCTAGGAAATAAAACAGCTATGATTTGGGCCAGAAGGGATCTCCTTGGGAGCAATGGCCATGGTCTCTTCATCTTGGTGCTTCTTGTCATTGGAACAGGGCTCTGCTCTTAGCATTAACTCATGTTTGCTAAGTAAACAAATGAAAATGGCTCATCAGGAGTCAGAGGAAGGAAAGAAAGACTCTTAGAAAAGTAATTCAGCCTAATCCCTTTTTTCCTGAAGACCCATCTCATTATCACAGACGGGGCAAACTCCCCATTTCCCCACT